ATCCGCTGTTCAGCTCACCGTAGGTTCTTTTGTTGGAGGTGCGACCCCTTGTGGAGATTAAGTTTTCTTTAAATTATCGTCATTTATGCTGAAGGTATTGTAGCATTTTCAACTGTAATTACAGGTCAATCTTCACGCAAGTGTTTTTATGGAAAAAAGAAAAAACTAACAGTCCATTTCAAATTGCGAAGCTATACCAATTTTTCGTCCTCGTGTTTGGCGCTGAACACAAGTCAATGTCTTATAATTGCTCTTTTTCTTGAATTATATCCAAATCTGTAGCGGAACATCATTATATAAATATGTTTCTTTTTCCTCTGAATTATCTACTTGTTTGTTTTTACGTAGTTAAGAATTATTTATGAAAGATGCTGAGGAAAATCAGTAAAGAGAAAATGCCAACATCTATAGAAACGCAAGTGAATAACTAGAGTGCACTTAGTAGAGCACATACCTCCGTCACGCAATGGTGGTCATATTCGGCCCTCAAAAAATATGAAAATGTCATTATCAACGGACACAGACCATTTGTTGCAGGACAATGAGGAATAATACTCTACATATGTCCACCAAATTTCATCAAAATCCGATCATTTTTGACTGAATTACAAAGCAAAAGTAGTGTGAAAAATTGGTCCCCATGTTAACAGATAGAAATTTTTTGGATTTTCGTAACCTTGTTGTGACTTTGACCCTCCAAAAACTAATCACTTCTAAGTTGGGTCATAGTCCAACTATATACCATCTTTCGTCTAAATCAATTCAGCCATTTTCGAGAAATATTGCTGACAAAGAGATACATGAGTGAAAACGTAACCTCCGTCACCTTCAGTGGCGGAAGTAAATGTAGCATGGCGTGATTTGTATATTCAACATTCTAGAATCGTGCATTACCGTATTTTTCGGTGTATAAGACGCACATTTTTACCCAAAAATTTGATGTCAAAATCTACTTGCGTCCAATACACCGAAGGTATGAGTAATATATATGAATACATACGATATACACAAGCCATGTGTAAATATATTTAAATAGGCATGCATAGTTTAGTTCAATTGAATGTGTTATTTATAACAATAGTAGTTTTTTTTTTTATTTATAAATAATAAAAAAATAAATTACAGCGAAAGCAATGAAGATTTTGTAGGTTTTGAACCAAACTAATTAACAGTAAGCCCCCCAGTGGCACAGCGGTATGTCTGCTGACTTACAACGCT